ATTCAAGATGATTGTATCACCTGATGATGGTAATCATCATGGTACAGTAATACAATAACCTTTTTTTTCAATTACAATTTATACCAGTAATATATTTACATATACTGTAGATAGCATTTATTTCAACAATTGTTTTGGTTAATTTGGACATGCGTAGTTGGACAAAACTAGTCCTTGATGCATGGACTAGTGATCAACGTGACACTATAAACCAGTGGCGGCCATCTAGAGGTGCCATATCATAAATTTTCTTAACCTCAGCCCCAACTATGGTGGGGCTGAGGTAGAACCTCCATTTGTGAAAGTCCCTCTCTGGGCTGTCTCTTTTTCCAATTCCTGGATCCACCACCACTGTACAGTGGAAACATTTGTTGAAAAGACAAGATTTCTGAAGTTACTTTTTATATAATGTACTGTAAATTATAATAAGAAAACTCTATAACTGTCTTTGGTAATGCTAAAAAAATATATACAGTAAATAAATTTTAAACGTTATAAAGGAATTTGAGGGTGAAAAAATATGTGCCCAAATGAGATTCAAACAAGTATATATAAAAGGCCATTTTTTACGGTAGATTGCTAAATACAACGGGTTCAGCCGAGGGGGAGTGGCTTGTATATGGTGACATCATGTATAATTATGCCGTCTACCAAAAAAAACCTCACACTAAACTGTGTGACCAATGTGAATTTATCAAGGCGAGCAGGCTGAGGCTTAACTTAGTTTTCTCTTGTGCTACTACGGGCGGGTGAGGGACGATCGAGTACATTTTCAGACGATTGGCCTAAACTCTTTGGTAGTAAGGACATTCATGGGTCTAAAACGTCAAAGGGAAAACGCCGCAAATATTTATTATAGAGGGCGGCAGACTGATATTTTTTGTTATCAGGTACGTCGACCGAAGCACTGATCTATTATACTGTAATGCAAATCAGTGATAGATATAAAATAAATATTAGAGTGGCACACCTAAATTTACCAATATCAAGGCATTAATATCAACTATTGTTATGGATGATTAATTGCTAGTTGTGATTATCATTATTATTATTATTATTATTATTATTATTATTATTATTATTATTATTATTATTATTATTAATAAAGACTTTATAAACACATTTTAAAGGACCATAAGAGTTGATAACAATAAATATCTATAATTAGTCGTTGACTCCGAGAAGCTCATCCGCCCTTTGGTAGTACATAATTAATTAAGAAAGAAAAAAAAAAGTTCAATAATAATAATAATAATAATAATAATAATAATAATAATAATAACAATGGTATTTATTAAAACATACATCTTCAGATTGGCGGCACTCAAAATCATTTGTGTGTTCATAATGATAAAAAAAAAATCAATGTATTAATTAAATTTCTTAACTATCTCAGTACATAGAAACAACAAATATAATAAAAAAAATATATATATAAATGATAGTTAGGAATAGAACTATAAATAAAGGGTAAATTTATATGAATGATACTCTATAATATTTATCTAGGAAGACCAAAAATCTTACAAGATCTTTGGCGGGGGTGGGGGGCGGTGGGAGCTAACAACATAACACAAAATATCAGTCTGTCGCCCTCTATTAAGTGAAACCTTATTTTCATTCCTGATGATGACATAACTATTGTCGAAATATTGAATCCAAACACGATGGCGTGCATTTCAATACTTGGAGTATGTTGTACTTTCTTATCTGAGATTAATAGGTGGACCTTTCGCTTATTGTTACAATTACGAAAAAATGTAGATTGCTGCCCTCTTAAACTTATATGAAGTGGTTTTGCTATCGATTCCTTGGATTTGGATTATCAACAATAGTACTTTCCTGATAATTAATTCACTCTATTAGATATATTGCGTCATTCTTTTTTCCTTTCCTAAACTATGTGATATAAAACAGCCCTTAAAATAATCTTTTATGTGTTGTATGTAAATTGAAATTCTGTGTTTGGAGGGGGCTATTATTGGATTTATTTATAATTGATTTACAAAAACAGGATATGTGGTCTTCCCACATGTGGAAACCCTTATTGTCATTCCTGATGATGACATAACTAATGTCGAAATATTGAATCCAAACACGATGGCGTGCATTTCAATACTTGGAGTATGTTGTACTTTCTTATCTGCTTATTGTTACAATTACGAAAAAAGGTAGATTGCTGCCCTCTATAGTTAACGATAATCTTAAACTTATATGAAGTGGTTTTGCTATCGATTCCTTTGACTTGGATTATCAACAATAGTACTTTCCTGATAATTAATTCACTCTATTAGATATATTGCATCATTCTTTTTTCCTTTCCTAAACTATGTGATATAACACAGCCCTTAAAATAATCTTTTATGTGTTGTATGTAAATTGAAATTCTGTGTTTGGAGGGGGCTATTATTGGATTTATTTATAATTGATTTACAAAAACAGGATATGTGGTCTTCATAAATATTTTTAATATTATTAGACTGGAAATAATGTATTCTACTATAGGCGAGAGGTCACACTACACGAGGATACTGAGCTGTTACAGAATTTGCTGAAATCTAAGAGTGCCCTATCTTTAGTGTATACGATCTTTGATTTCATTATCATTTCTATCAACAGTGGACCAAAAACATATATTTATGGCAGTGTTATTGTTGCACTAGTCTCAAACCAATTACTAATATTAATTGGATGTTATTTCTGTTATCTAATACATGCATACAATAAGCTTTTTTACTTAAACTCTGTTCTGTCTAAAGGTTATTCATTTATATTGCGCAAAATACGAGAGTCTAATGTATGTATAATTTCGTAAAGTACTAGCTTGTTACTTCACTCATTTAGATAGTTTTTCCGCGATTGATAGACAGATAAAGACATAAACTTACATCTATTCATGGATATAACATTTCTTGTTTTAATTTAATAAGTAGATTGCTACATTATTTACAGGTGTCCAAAAAAGTTCATTCCCTGGTAGGTAGTGTTGAATACATTGGTATTATGTGTTTCTCTTGCATTTTTTCTTTAAGTAAATGAAATTACGAGTAATTTGGATCTTTTTGTCTTTTTTGCAAATTTACGAAACACTAGGACAGACTCATTTCGATGGCTTTCTCTTCTGAAGCTTCTCATCATGTTACCTGCTGTTTGCAAGAGCATCTCGTCCACAGGGGGTTAACGTAGATCAGAGTGCCTCCCTCTGTACACTTCACAGAGAATTCTGGGTTTAACTGCACGATTCATGGAGTATACATTGGGCCTGTTATAATTATAGTATGGAGTCCATAATCCTTAGCGGCCTTTCTAACAAGCCAATTCATAGTTTGAATTGCGCATGCCCGTATTCTAGTTCAATCGACCTAAATCTATGCTGTGTGCATGTTTATTTATGTCGATTGACCAAATTGGATTATTTGCATAACATTTTGATTAATTTTGAATTTCTTTCTGCCATGAAAATGGTTTCAGTGTGTACATATTATTCAGTTTCTCTTGCATTGTTGATTGAAATGGTTCCATGCATTTTGTTAACATAAAAGTACTGTACCTTCGTAGAAAATAGACAGAAGGTAGGCACTACTTGGTTTAGACTTGCTACAGGTCCATCATTATTTTTCTCATTCTGGATAGCGCCACTAACGAGCAAGTTAATTTTGAGACAGAATCCGAAAAAAAAAGAAATAGAGTATGGGACGCCAAATAAATTAGGTATGGCGCGCATTAACTGCAATAAAGAGTGAGTAACCCAAAATCAGGCCCTGGAACCCAGGCTATAATTGGTTGTTCTGTTGTGGTGAAAGCCTGCAAGCAGTGACAGCATTATCAATTCTAGGATGTCCTTTCTCTCTATTTACACTCATCAAACACATATTTATTGAAATTATTCCTAGTATACTTACTGTCACAACCATTTTTAAAGTTCAAAGCGAAGTACTGTATAATCACCCGATACTCTGCGAGTTCACATTGAAACAATGCAGCTTTTCATATGGATCAAAAACAGCTACTGTACTATAATTTTAATCTCAAAATCATAATTAATGTACTGTAATATTATGATGTCTTCTTCATTAGAGTATTACCTTTAGACCCAAATTTTAAAAACCTTTCGGCATATTATCGTAATACAGCTGAAGTGTAAGATTGATCAACCAATGTTTGATCTTATAAGGTGCCAACAACCATGGCTCAGGGCACAACTGTATAAATACATTGTAAGTACAGTTGCGGATTTTTGCATTCCACAAAACTAAAGGATTAATTTTCTCTGAATTGTAAAAGAAAAGATGGCATATCTGATCTACAAGAATCAATTAAGTTGTAAACTTCTGAGACCGATCAAAATAATTCAGCTTTGGTTTATTAACAGGCTTTACAATACGAAAATTATTATGACTGCAAGCCATAAGGAAAAGAAAAAAAAAACAGCAGTTTTGCATTTTTTACTGTCTAATTAGGGGTTGTTTGGTGAATTCTTGTGGTGCAATGTTGACTGCGTGTTAATAGTATCATTTGCAAGGATGCACACAAGATCACACAACTTGAGCTAATGTAACTCATTTCATTTTTTTATATCTTGTGAATTTATTGTACTGATTATATTATATTTTATACATATTTTTATTACAATTTTCGACTGTAAGTGGGAACGAAGAGTTCCTGTTGGACGATTGAAATAAAATAAAATTAAAAAAAATAAAATGTTTAAACATAGCTATAGATGGCTTATGAGTCTTCTTGAATGGAGTTGTTTTAGTTATAAAATCGTGACTTACAGGATTTTAAACAGGATCCTGTGATTGAAAGGCAAACATCTTCACTCTCAAGCTAAAGATATTATTCAAGTCTATGGTGTTGTTAAGGCTGACAGCTAACATTTTTCAGGAGTGTTCCATTTGGCAAATATTAGTTTATATTAAACGTGTTTATTAATATTTTATATTGAACAATTTTTTTAATGCACATACAGACAAAAAAAACAACATATGGACACAATATTCCAGTTGTACGTGTTTAATGCATTTAATGCAAGAAGCACAGATTTAATGGATCTACAAAGAACGTAGGTATAAGGCGGGAACGAGAGCCCACGCCCTTCACTATAATACACAATACATGAATGAATACTGGTTTAGATACGCACAAAGATAATATTACAAAGGAAAACAAATCCCACACTCATATGATCATCATGTGATCATGTGTGAGAGAAATCAAACAATTATAGCTTGTCGCTATAACGTTTTTAACAATGTAAATTAATAAAAAAAAAACATGAGTTGATAAAACCTTACTAAAAACCATATTTAAAACTATCTATAAACTGTATAAATAAAATACATAATTTCAAAGATGAGGTTTAGAAACAGTGCTTAAAAACAGTTGGAAGAAATATCGCCAAAAATGTGGACTAATTGAAAACTTTAACAAACATAACTTTATATTACAGTAATGCATCAAGACAATAATTTCAATTTCTAATCAGGTGAATTCCAAAGGGTTTTTTCTATCACAAGTCATTACGTATACGCTAAACGTAAACGTGCAGGCAATGTGACCAACACAAAAAGATAATATAAACTAAACCATATACAATATCAAAGGCAATATTACATAAAGTAGTTGTTTCAACATAACTAACAAAGCATTCAATTTCATCATATTAGCCAATAAATATATGATGTAAACAATTGAACATAATAAATGATAAGCCAACTTGGATGCTGGACAACAGGAAAACAAAAATTTGAACAATATTGTATTTCATTTAATTTAAAAAAAATCATATTTAAAGAACAATCTGAATTTATAAGCACACTTTACTTTTTAAAAAACTTTTTATTTGACTGCATCTCTTCCCTTCTTTTACTTGTGACCACTGAGCACACTATCGGAGCTTTTTGAGAACAAAAACACTCTACCCTGGTTTGATTAGCACATAAAAAGTCAAGAGTTAAATACAAAATAATTTGGCGAACCCTAAGAAGTAAGATTGACACGCGACCCTCTCCCGACAGCAATCAAACATTGCCTACAAATTAGACACAATATATTTGAAGCACACTTGGGCAAATAAAAACAGAAATTGCAGTGAAACACCTTGTGTATATAATATATACATAGCACACACTATCGCCTATACCTAAAAGAACATGTTTCTAAAAAAAAAAATCTACTAAAGACGGCTGAGTTGAGTTGAGATAATTCACCCTCTTTCCTGAATACAATCCTTTAAAAAAAATGAGTAACACTAATCATTACTCTTTAAAATAGATTGTTGTTGTTAATTTTGATTGTCACATCAGGAGTTGCTAACTTTTTCTTAACTAAATAAAATTGTTACCATGATTCGACAGCCTATACTAAAGCATCACCAAGGTTTTAAAAATAGTACATTATGTATTTACCTTAATGATATAATTACTAGGAAATTTTGCTGGTGAAAAAAAAAAACTATTATATTATACACATATGATAGAAATGTCAGGCTTATGTACAATTCGTGTACGGTATTAGGATCATTAAATGTATGCACATATTATATTTCATTAGTTCTAATTCCACAATTATTTTTATTCATTTAAAATCTATATTATTTTAGCCCAACAGTACATATTACCTTTATAAAACTAAGCAACAACCACTAAAATATCCGTTAATAACTTAAATTCCAAATGACATCTAAACCCGAATTTGATATTTGAAGCACCTATTAAATTTTTAAAAGATCCAGCTGCGATGTACGCAACCTTTTTGAGAACGATAACAAAATACGTCACATCGTCATTCTTGTTAATCGTACTTACAAAATAGAATACACAAACTGTTTTAGTTAAAATTTGGATTTCTCTTTTTTTATAGCAAGATTGATTATGTAAGTTTGGGTAACATTTGGGACACTTTATTATCATATATTTTTATATGTCAAAGATTTACTTTTGCCGAATCTTGAGTTGGTAAAACCGTTTACTAAAACATCTGTTTTTCTAACTACAAATAAGACTGATGAATTTTAAAAACAGAAAATAATGCTGTGACAGATATTTGGGGATTCGCTTAACAAATTTTAATGGGGATCAGCTTAAAAATCTCTAAAATTGTTAGTAAAATAGTACATGTTGTTGTTCTTATAAGGTCGCAATACTTCCCTATTACTTTACTAAAACTAGTAAACAAAGCAATGGCAAAAAGCGCAGCAGAAGAACATAAACAAATTAATTTGGCCCAAAATACGAAAAAGCCTAAAACACTATTAATGTACTGTACAGGGATACATCATGCAAAAACATTGCACAATTTTTTTCCCTTTTTTTCCGCTAAAATATTTTTTGTAGCTACAGATTATTATCTTTCTATTTCCTAAATTTATATTACAATAAATATAATTTGAATCCGATTCAAAACATCAAAGGCATCGAGATGAAACATGTTGAAAACAATTCTCAACTTCGGGTTTGAAATGCAGTTCTAAAATTCACTAGAAGTACAGATTTTGAACAGGTTTGCCTCACGACAAACAAGAGACATACAAATAAATAGATAAAGTTTAGGAATATTCTTATCAAATCTCTATGACACAGACTAATACACCTCAGATAGAGTGCTTAATAAAATCAGAAAATGAAACTGTTTCACTTACAGTTTCAGATAAAATCAGCATCTATTATGTTATCTATTATAGTACAGCACAATGTTTTTAAGAATACATGAATGTGCAGTACATTCGTTAAACTATACATTTGAATTAAGCCTTATCTACCGTACACCTTAAAATACTAAATAATTCCATTAATAATCTTAAAATTTTAAAAACCTGGAGAAAACACTGTCCAAAATCTTGAAAAATACTGTAACTACCAAAAGATATTTAGTCACAGGCAGTATCAAGTTAATAATACTGCAATACGTCCACACAGTTCTTGCTCTAAAGCTTTTAAGATTAATTCAAATTAGCTAATTATTTGTGCGTAATAAATTATAATATCAAATCCCCCCCCCCAGCCCGTTGTTTAAGGTTGAATTCTGTATTTTTAGTAATAACAGGTAAAAACAAGAAGCAACTTTTATCAGTTTTTTTTTTATTTGTATCCCAAGACTTGACTTCTGTACAGTGTTATCTCCAGCATTGGCTTATCAACCAACCATTGTCAAAGGTTTTTTTTTTTTACTAAAATCAAAGTAATTCTCACTCTCTCCTGCAATATATTTCTCTCAAATGGTAGACTTAGGAGTTTTTTTTTTTTATAGCACCACATTGAATATCCTGATTCTGTAGACCACAAGCTTGCTACTAGTCAGTTGCCATGGTAATTATCTTCCAATAACATCTAGATCTGGTTTTGTTTTCATACTCCAACTTCTATAAGTACCAACCATTCCAAATTTCAGATTACAGAGTTGACGAAGAAATATTGCGCTTAATTAAAAGTAACAACAACAGTTATTCTACGTTGCACTTAAAGGAGTCGGGGTCCAGTTAAAAAATAAATAAATCAAATTACACAATATAGACTTATAAAAGATAACATCGATTGGTTTGTACTCAAAAAGAGGTTCCCTGTTACTGTTGTCAATTAAATGTCTGCACCGTATTCATCAACAAGTTACAAATTTCTTCATTAACATAGTTAGATTGTTTACTTCAGTGACCATCAATTTTCAGATGGCGCCATCCAGACAAGAGGAGTTGTTACGGACACCATCCGTTCTGATACATACAACTTTGCATGACATAAAGCACACAAGAGAAAAGACAGTTTGCTAGGAAGGACACAACATTGAACCTTCGACAGCACATAGACACAAGTACACCCAGAATATCTGTGAGGATGGAGAAACGAACGTCTAGGATGTTGCTGGAACCAGGTTTGAGATTTGACCCCGTCCCTTGTGTAGCACGCACATTACCATGGGCACTGAACGGCGGGCTAGCAAGGAACCGATGAACTGTTAGAACCATAGACGACACACTTAATAAGGAGTATAACGTGCGTAACCTCCTCTATACACGCTAGCCTGAAATAATACAAAAACAAGACATTAAATCAGTATTTGAAATCATTATAACTTTTCTTGTAAACTTGTAATCATTATAATGCAACTGTAAAGATGATACTTGACAAAAAATATAAAATAGTGAAATATAAAAGTATTAAGCACTGCAAATCAAAAATATATGGGATAGTGCAATTAATAACTGCTAGGAAGAACAATGAAAGCAGAAATAATAAAAACAATTATTTGGTGAAAATGATGTTGAATGAAATCAGTTATTGAAAGAGCAATAAAAGGAAGGAAAAAGGCACACAATAAGTGTATTGTAAATAATATTTAAGTTTGATAAATATAATATAAAGGAGAGTGTACTTATACCTATCTTTATAAGTGTATATTATCATTATGCAAATTGCAACATTAAGATAGTGGTGTATGTGTATTGTTATGTACTGGCAATATAAAATTGAAATTTGTTGGTTTTCTAAATATGTATAAAAATGTAAAAAAAAATGTATTTCACATTATTAATAATATTGTTATTGTCATTGTTATTATCATTATTATTACCATCACTGATGTTGCATTGTTATATATTTTTAACAATTAATTTCATTATGAAATTAGTTTTAAAATATTTTATATTTGTATTTGTCATTATCAGTTCCCAAATTAGTCTACAAACTGAGGGAAAGTGTACTAATAATCATATTAAAAATTTGTAAAAATATGCACCACCCACCTCCCAAATAAACCAATGTTATTATTAGACAAGGATTATTAAAATACTGTATCAGCAAATAAATTATATTTTCAATTTATAAAAAATACATTTTAATTAAATAAAGTTATTGAATTATATGTAAATACTAGATATTGGAAATTATTATTATATTCTTTAATCATTTGAATATGCCTAGGATTTGGACACTGCAATTCTATTTTTTTAATTCAAATTTTTTTTCAATATGCTTCAAATTGTCTTTAAAAAAAAAACAACCAGCATTTTTAATAACACCTCTGTATGCATTTTACCATCATATGCTAATTAGTAAAAAGATAATAATGAGGAGAGAAAGCAGATGTGCTTAATCAACTGTGAAAATCTGAACTCCCAACATCCTCTGAGAATTTTGTCAACCATTTTAAAGGTCAATTAAAAAATAATGATACTGACTTTTTGAACTTCTTAAGAGCCTAAGATGGCAGTTGCATCCTGGCTGATACTGTCTAGCCATTAACATTATTTGAAACTTCAGAATCATAAACTAGCGAACTGCCAACACAGAACGCAATGGTGGATTTATTATTATTTTCCTATACTTAATGCTTAATCATAATGACTCAGAACTAGTAACCCATTCCCTAATTTTAACCCATCCTGAAGACAAAACAAAAATGAGCAGTTAACCAGTGTTTAAATCCGATTTTTTATGGTATATGGCAGAGAGCTTGAAACAAATGGACCAGTCGAGAGTGTCGATCAAACTGAATAACTGACCAATCAGAACAGCACCAAGAATATGCATGCCTTAGCAACAATATCCAGGGGGGCGGAGCCATTGATATGTACGCGTTAAATTTATAAGCAAATGACTATGAACCTGGGACTGTACTGATTTGTTAATTAAAAGGCAAATTATTCATCAAAATATTAAAGCTTTGTATGTATTTATGACAAAATTAATTAAAAATATCTGAGGTTGTGTACATTGCTTTAGATAATATTCAGTACTTACTTTACAAACATGGTAATATATAACATATCATAGTTGACAAGATTGAGGAAATAATATTTTATAACATATTATGTTTAAATAATGGAGCCCATGGAATCTGTGTGATAAATATTATGAACGTTTTTAATGATATATTCATATCGGTATTTTTATTTTTTCTAAAGGACTCAGTTTTAGATTTGTATTAAATAATGCTGATCATATGATAAACGATGATGGCAACATGGCAATGGTAACATGCAAGGAATGATAGCAATACCAATGACATTATAGATGCTTATGTCAAGCAGTGATTACATAACAATGTTGGTATGCTTGTGACAATGGCAATGATTGTACTATTAAGACAACAATATGATACTATGGTAATGCTGATACCACCATCACATTAATATAAGTTGGTGCCGAATATGGTAATGCTGATAAAATTGGGACAATCCATTGTGACAATATCGCCGTTGTGATAATAAAGATAATACCAATGTGACAATTATAAATGGTGATATCAGTGTGTATTAATATGATAATAATGATGATACAACTGCATTTGACATAGATACAGAAATTATGGTACCATTGTAATAGCAAAATGGTAATGACATACATTCTGACATACTGTATGGTAATGTTACCATTGTGACATTATGGTAATGATGATACCATTATCATAGAATTGTAAGGTGGTACCATTGTGATAATATGGTTATTGTGGTATCATTGTAACATGGTGATAATGATACCATTGTGACATTATGGTAATGATGGTACCATTGTGACAATGATATGGTAATAGCACCTTTGTGCCACATGGTAATAATGGTACCATTGTGACATTAAGGTAATGATGGTACCATTGTGACAATAATAATATGGTAATGATAGCACCATTGTGGTATATGGTAATGATGTCAAAGAATCCAATAATATGATATACTGTTTATACGGTAATGATATGATCATGATAATATGATAGTGATTATACTATTTTTAATATGGTGTAAGTACACAACCACAGCACACTTGGTGATGGTGCTAATTATTTGGTAATCATGGTGCATTGGTGGTGAGAATTATTATATTCAAACCATGTCATTGGTATGTTTAAATGTGAAAGTGGTCTATGTACAGGCTAGTATGAGTGGCATTTGAACTGTATACAAATATATGAAAGACAGGATATTGGAGAAGCAAGTAACAAGTACTAAAATAATCCATCTATGGCTCAAATAATACAAAACTATGTTTCTCGTATGTATGCTTTTTTTTTTAAAGGTCAAACCACTAAAATTCAACATAAATTCCAATAGTATATGAAGTACATGTGAGGCCTCTTGAAATGAGACACATGGTTGGTTGGTCAGATTATATTGAGTTATGACCAAAACATGTCAGTCAATATTTTCATATAATTTTGGTCTTTATGAGCTTAATGTTTAACTTTTGAATCAATTTTATTACTATGAAAGTTTTCTTCAGGAAAATTTGGCCTCTAGTCTTATAGTATTTCTTAAACTTTGAGGATGTTTTTTTCTAAATCAGGTTTTCATACATCTAAACTCACATTTCTGGATCTTCTTATCATAAAACTCAATCAAAGAAGTATAAACAATTTTTGACAATTGTTCTTTTCGAATATACTTAAATTTAAATTTTCTAACCATTTGACTTATTTTTTAGCGAGGTCTCAAATATGCATGCTATTTTCTGTGCATGTATGCAGGCCAAAGTTGAAATATAGGTATACAATTGCTTGTATAGTGGCCATATTCGTCCCCTCAATGTCAAACTTTTAAATACGAGAAACATATTTCTATATTCATTTGGCCTAAACAAGCCATGTCAAACACAAAGATAATAAATACACACTAAATTCTACTTCTACTGTAAAATATAATTTCATTCTAATAAATTTACCAAACAAATGAGAGAGCAAAATTAAAGTACTACGGCAAGGTTGGAAATCATAAAATAAAAACCGGTCATGAAAAATAAACTGGGAATTTTGTTTAATAGTCTTCAAGATTTTGATAACAAAAGTTTAGATTTCTTTACATTTTTATGCAATTTTTTTCAGTTAATTTAATAATAGATTCTTCATTTGGAAAATATTTTAATGTACTGGGTGTCAAAAATGTTTTGTTATCAATATCTTGAGTCACTTATGCTTCGTCTGTTTGAGAGAATTTTCAAGGATTTCATTCACCGCGTGAATGCAATATCAACTATACTTACGTCAGAGAGTGGCATGATGAAAATATTCATCAATCAATGGTTCTGGTTTAGACATGTTTTCCCAAACTTAATCAAAGATTCTCCAAACAGAAACCATTAAGACAGTTTTACGCTAAGCGAATTTATTTACGTGAATCAAAAGCGTCGGACCATGTACACGCGCACCCACATTTTTGTACGATTTTTTCGCTCCGTGAAATCAGTAATTCGAACTGTTTCTACTTTTTGCGAAGCGAAAAAATGCGCAACCAATCAGAGCTCAGGATGCAAACCGACGCTTTCAATTCACATGAATAAATTTTCCTAGTGTAAAACTGGCTTTATAAGTGACATTCTATAAAACAATTAAGCCAAGACAAAATCACCACAAAGGACTGGGCTACTGACTACATCACTCCAATCAATGTGGAGACTTAATGCCCCATGGATTTACCCGTGCAATAGAGGGGTATCTTACCCCGTACGCAGCGGCTGCTGGGCCGATTGTGTGATGATATGGATCAGCATATTCCCTGGCATACGGAATTGCGTAGGCCGCTGCTGGTGCAGCGTAACGACTTATGTAACCTCCATATGCTGTTGCTGCTGCTGCGCTCTGTAAGATAAGTTCCGTCTTTGAAGCAATCGGAGAAAAAACAAAGAGAGGAAGAAATGGTTGTTAGTAAAGCAAACACGGCAAACTAACAGGCAACAAGGCAGAATCCAACCTCATCAAAGACCAGTATAATTAATTTATATTTTTTTTAAATTAATTGTGTAATTTGCAGTTAATTCATCCAAATGTATTTATAATTGAAAGCATAAAATATAGCATTTTCCCTCATTTTTGGCAGGGAATTCACTGTCTAAAATCACCATCATGCGAACTGATTTATCCAATCACTAAACAGTTGCGTCATTAGACTGACTGTCTAGCAATAACATAACTGGACCAATCAGTAAGCATGTACTTGCAAGAAGATGTAATTGCAATGAACAAGGTGCCTGGAACTCTTTTTTTTTCTATGTGCAACAACACGGTCTCTAGATTGGTCTGATGAGGTTAGTAAAATGTTACAAAGTATATATCCTTTGGCATGCACGGTTCTTACCATCCCGGTGAACATTTTTGACCAGAATTAAGTAGAATGCCATGGTTTTTCAAACTTATTAAAACTCTGTCCAGACTATCAAAATTATATGACAAAAAATATATAGAGTCATGATGTGCATATACAGGCGAGTCGAATGGCCAAGCAGTAAGGCAAGGGCGCCGCAACCTACAGCCATAATGTCGGCGCTGGTTCTAAATGGCACGCTCGCCTATAGTTCTGGAGGTGGAACAAGTCTTCTAGGATAAGTACTATAAACCATAGGCCCAGTGTACACAATTTGTTCATGTGCACTGTAAAGAACCCAGTACATCTTTCGAGATGAGTAAGGGGGTTATCCCAGTGTAGTGATCCATACAGCCCCTGTTGTGGACAGACGAGAGTAGCTGGTACCAGTTTTACTGGCCAGCTTGTACCAGTTTTACTGGCCAGCTCAGACACAAAGAGACCGCCTTAGGTAGGAAAGGAAAATTACTGTATGACCTACTGTACTCCATGCTTTGAGTGCTCGGATCTTCATGAAAATAGCTCTATAAATGACGTGATGTCATCATGACCATATTTAGGAATGTCCAATATTTTTGTCAATTAAAATTTGATAATCTGGACAGGGCTAAAAATTCTATTAAAAATATTATTTTACTCATGGCACCAAATCATGCAGTGCAATTTCTGAAATATAAACGATAAGTCTAAACAATGAAAACAAATGTAATTATATTTAAATTATAAAGCAAATAAATTTTTAAAATTTAAATTTTATTTTTAAATTGGATAAGTATACACTTGCAATATTAATGATTGTTGATAACTATAAACATGAAAGTCCATTAAAAAGAATTATAAAAAAGATAATAATGTATTAAAATCGAGAATGTGATTGTATAAAAAAAATTAACAAATAATAGCATTTATTTAATAAACAAATGAACAACATTAAAGGCGTTGAACAGTTTTAAAACATTTTCGTTACAAACTACAGCATCATAACTTATTTAGATATACACAAGTTTCACACCTTAACACATTGACTACCAGTTATACATATACCCATGTTACTGGGTGTAACTAGGGGTGGCATTGTATTCTTACAGAAATCATAAGTTGTTTGTATATAAAATTTAATATGTTGGCATCCCAGACAGCACAACAAGCACTTGGCTGGTGGTGCAGTGGTTAAGGTGGTTGTCTTTTGAATCATGGTCTTGTGTTCAAATCCAATCAAGTACCATGTTTTTTTCTCACAACTAAAATGAATCCACTTTCTACGCCTCATAATGAGACTTAAAATAGGTAGAGCATCATTTAAGTTTGTTTGTCTTGTGAAAGAGACAATTTGTACTTAGAATGAAAAAGCTAAAAATTACACCCTCCTATGACAGTCATTGTGTTAAAACTCTGTCCACACTATGCAAATTTATGTGACAAATACCAAGTGATTTGTCCCTTATATGGAAGATATAACATTATCATGCCCATACCATATGTGTGAATCACGAATATTGTCACATAATAAAATTATTTTTCTCTACAATAATAAATGCATGCACAATAAACACAAGCATTTGTAAATGGAGGGAACATGGTGCAATCAATTCAAAATATAATGCTACCAATCAGAATTCAGTCTGTAGTTACATGACATGCATTTAAGTACAGTAAGGGGTCCCAAGTCTCCCAGAAGCCACGGAGTCTAGCGAAAGTCACTAGGTCTCCTGGAAGTCAAGACGGCCTCCCGCAAGCAAACAAGAATCCCAGAGAAAAAATCTCCTGCAAATTTATTATAATATTTTTATGTTTTTACTACTTAGTTATCAATTGTCTAACAGAAGAAAAAAATAATGATATTCATTCAGGAATTATTAATAATAATTACTAAGGTTTAAAGGGTATGTTGGAGAGTAGCAAAAACAAAATCTTAATGAAATTATTACAGATAATTGACTAATTTAATCTTTATTAATATTTACATTTTTTTTTGTAATTTAGCAGGTTGCTGTGATTTATTTTAGTACTTGATATAAATGGAAGAATTTAGTTTATTCTTAAATTTGTTAGCAATATATCATATTTTTCAAGTATTTGGTATAAGATGCATACATGTTCTAAAGGCTCTTAAAACGTGTCAGGCTTTAGCATGCTTATCCATATTTAGTCACTCATGGTAAAATCACACCATGCAGTTTAATATAACATTTCATCATAATAACATTGGTACACTATAAAAAATAATGACACACAAATAATACAGTAGAACCCCTCCGTAGGGACACCCTCATTAAGAAGGCACCCTCATTAAGAAGGCACCCCTAATAGAAAACAAAAACAAGGAACGTGAAAGTGAAATATAAGGTCAGCTAACATATTTTTTCCCTCTAGGGACCTTTTTTTGTTTTGCACTGTTGAAGCTTGTCAACTACTGTGGTAGTCAATGACAGCCACTTGTTCTGTTGATTCAAAACGGTTAAGAACTTTATTATTATTATTATTAATAAGGGAACACATTTTCTGGCTGTGATTATTCAACACTACAGCCAACCCCTATTCAGAGATGTAATAATGTAGGGGACACTTTTTAGTCTCAAATTTCCCCTTTATAGGGCTTCTACTGTAATATGATGTGTAATGAAACAAGGCAAATATTTATAACAATAGTCATAATAACAAAAGAGTAATAACAAGGAAAGAATAATAAAAACCTTATTAAAATAATAAATAATATCAACAAAGTGTATTTTGAAAATAAAGTGATAAAACAAATTCAATCAAACACATGGTTTGACTTACAATATAATCAGGATTAAAAGAAAAAACATAAAAGAAGGATAAAGAAAGAATAGAGATAATCAAATAAAAAAAAAATATATATATATAGAATAAGCATATAGAATAGAACATTATACAAACAAAATATTGAACAAAATTTACAAACAAATCTATTTTTCATGGTATGAAAATATGCATTGATAATTTGATGGAAACAAGGATGATGGTTGCTTACTTGGCTTACCTGGTACCTGTCCGCTGCTGCGGCCGTGTAGAACGCTTCCGGGTATATTGCGGCCGTTGCGTAGCCTGGTACTGGTGGTGGTGGAGCTAATCTGTATGCGGTGTAAGCACCTCGGATTGCACGCCCTCGCCCAGTAGCGATCACTGGAGCCCTTAAAACACCTGCTAGGGATAGAAGACAAGTCTAGTTATTACATGGGTATAAAGTTCAGAAAGTAGGAAGTTTATTTACTGATATGTTGGCATTCAAAACACAAATGAAGTGGGACTTATTAATATGTGTTAAGTATGTTCTTGTTGCTTGTTTCCCCACCTCCCTGTCCCCCCCCCCCCAAACCCTCTTAGAAGTCATATTGACAACTGAAAGACCAATCACAGCCTCCTCCAACCAGGCTACTAAAAAAATATAGCCTGCAAAAGATTTAGAAGTTGGTATAGCAATGGTCTACAATACTTACAAACCATTATAAACATCAAGTTATATTGCCTGTTTACCATTTCGACTGTGGTACAGCATGGAGGGTACAGCAAGGGTTTAGACCTTTATCTACTTTACTCTTACAACTATGTAAGCGCTTATCACTGCCTTCCCTGGTTTTTATGTTAACAAAATTAGTACATGAATAAGCATATAAAACGATGATCATAAAACATCATATATATATCACAAACAAAAGATCCGTCAGTTGTAGATCCAATCTCATTACTACTTGCTTCATTTCTGTTAGTGTCACAAACTGCTATAATGCGTCTTTTCAGAAGGGATATTTGTGCTGCTCTGGGCTTACATGCACGGTAAAATCTGCACTCGTATCAAGCAATGGAACAGAGAAATATCTTCCGGCATATCTATACTATACAAAAAGAAGACAGTGATATTATTTACTAGCAAATGACTTACCGTTTGGTGTTGGTTTATTCTTGTTCGTCATTACCCGTGCTGTAGCATTGTTAACCTGTCAAGAGAATCAGAGTTTGAAAAGTCAAGAGAATTGCAAGACAACATTAGGTGAATGCAGAAAACATGAAAACAATGACAAGACGCTACCAACAGAGAACAGGAAGGGTAACAGAAAATATGAACAAATAACATGAACACAAAGATTTATCTGAGCGATTAATTATATTATTATCATTAAATATTATCTAACATTATATTTATTTCGATGTTATTGATTTTATATAATGATTTTTAATGATTTCTCTTGAGCAATTAATTATATTATCATTATAGTAAATATTATCATACATTATATTTATTATTGAGTTTTATCTGAGCAATTAATTATATTATTATCATTAACTATCATTTAACATTATATTTATTATTATTATTATTATTATTATTAGTAAGCTATTATTCTAATTAACTATTGAATATTAACTTAAAACTAGTATATCAATTTCAATACTTAAATATGATCATTATTACATAATATATTTATTAAATATATATTAAATAATTACATTGATTTGTTAAAACTATTAAAGCTTAATATTTTAATAGAATAATGTCCTCATTTGATTATTAATGACATCACATAGACATTATTTAATACTTCCAATATATGATTATTAACATTATTTGAATAAACATAATTCCTATTATCATCATTATTATTATTATAAAATTAATTGAAATATTCAAATTTAATGTTATTAAATCTGATTTAATATTTATGCTCAAGTACATTTAAAATTCATTTGATTTTTATTTAAATATTTCATGCATAAAAAATTTTCTTCATAATTTATTTCACATTATTTTAACCGAATGAAATCTAAATAAATAATTATTTTTCTGCTCAGAAATGACATGCACAGATAAACATACACAAAATATGGATCTATAAAGAATTGATCTGCCCTGCCTGTGCCTAAAGCCATTTAAAAAAAGATATTTTACTACACATTTGTTGTGATTTAGTTTACAATCAGTGTCAACATTGGACTGTGATATATTTAAGTGTTTTTTTTCAAAGATCACTGAGAAAGCAATTATGTCTGTGATTTTTTTTTCTGTAGAATGATATCTACGATTATTAAACAATATATTGTATTAAGCAAGTCAATTTTTTTTTCATAAATTTTAAAATTTACAACAGCCAATTGGTATCAAGTGTATTTTACATGAGATTTGTTTGACATATTATATTTAACTTAAAAATAATATAGTATCTATAGAAACAAAATAAATTGTAACATTTCAATTAACTTTTGTTAAAAATAATGTTTGTCACTGGAACTTTATAACTATTTGGAATAAAATTATATTTGTTGACAGCAAAAATTAGTTTCAACTTAAGAATGAGTACCATAGTTTAGAAGCTCCAAAAACAAGTAAATATTTTTACTAAATTAAATCCCTAAATGTTATTAATTAATGACTCTTAATAACTAATATTGGATACTAAATCAAATATTTCTATTCATGATTAGGATGCGTTTTCAACTTTAATCTTTTCTATAAATTTTATCATTAATTTATATATGTTTCTGAAAATATATCCGCATATAAAATAGTTAATATTATGTTATAAAATTGGCTAATCATCTATTTATATACATACAACAGGCAAGGCAGTTTCAATTGAATTTCAATATGTAAAAAAAAATGACAAACATAATAACAATAAATAATACTTCCCATAGTTCACATCAAAACATCTCAGAATTTTTTTTTAAACATTTCATGCATCAAAATTTGAAGGGTAATTTAATTTTGTTAGTATAAGTGAACAAAGATTTTTTTTAAAATATTTTAACCATTTGTAAATGGTCAATCAGCAATGGAAAATGAAGAATGTAAAGATGAATTAAGTTTATTTCTGTGTATATTTACTTCTCAAGTATGTGTACCTAAAAGTAATGATTATATAACTAAATACCTTAATATAATAATAATAGTATATATTTATGAATTCCTTTGACATTCTGAGATATTTCAATGTTAACTTGGTTGCTTTTAAACAATTCATTCTTGACCTACACTTTAAGAAGAAGAAGAAAAACCTAGAAAATTTTACAATAGATACATTGAAAATAGAATAGAAGAAAAAAAACAAGAAGGTTCATCAGAATAGACAAAAATTACATCCCTACCTTTGCTCCTACCATCCAGGCCGATAAGTAATTGACTGAAACCTAGCTATCTAACTACCAGTGGCGTAGCTGGGTCACTCAACTAGGGCCGCTGATGTCCAGCAGTCCCTAATCTAACACTGAGTTCAATGAAGATAGATATCTTTGACCAATTCTAACTTCTTGGTATCTTTGTGAAATGGCATTTGTGGACTCTTTCATTTGTTTATCTCTTTAAAATTTGTGTTGTTGCTTCTTTGTTTGAGAAAGTCTGGAGGCATCATATAAGATTTCATGATTAATATTCCAGTATCGCAGACAAGAAATCAAGAAGTTGGAAAAACTATCCAAAAAGTCTGTCAAAGCAGAAGCTGATATAAACTTTAAAATAAATATTTCATTTGTGTTTAGAATCTCACAGTGCTATGAAACACTTATGGATAATCAATTGCACATTTATAGTTATGATATAAATTGAATAGTGACTGATTGATTTATGTAGATTTAAAGTATTTCTTGACAATATAATTATATTTTTGAATAAACACTACAGTATAGCAAGTAGTATATATAATTTAATTTATATTTAATTAATAATTTATTGTCTTGTTTGCAAAAAAAAGTCTAGATTTCAAAGGCTCCATAAAGTAAACCTTGGGCAGCCTACAAAATGAAACATGTTCAATTTAGATGATGCAATTTGAATGGCCAAGCCCTTAATTTTGAAGTAGGGCCCATGAGCCCCTAGCTACGCCACTACTAACAACTTACAGAATTCTAGTCCTCTGTCCCTAAATAACTTGATTAGAGTGGTAATTGACATCTGTATAAATCTGATTGCATCCATCAGTTTCTACATTATTTTTGCTTTGTGTGTGGGTTTGAGCCATTTTTGGAGTTTCCAGAAAGGTACTTTATAACCAATCCGAGTTGTCAAACATATTTTCAGGAAGGTAAGAACTGGAAATGCTTTGATTACTTATTTTAAGATACAAATTGAAATGTGTCCGTTAATATAATGTTATAATATTCCAAATTTGGGATTTGCTAATATTATATTTTGAGTTGGCCAATTAAAGGTTTAGATATACTGATGTAAGAAACCCCCAAAAAAGAAATTTCCATTTTGACATGTGTTCTTTAAATTTTTTTATTTGGATGGGAAATAATTTTACCAATCTCAAAAGATGAGAGATCTGCTTCTTTTAGGACATACCATTCTTGATCTGGGATTTTGGGAAATATATGTCCTAAAACATAAGTTGTCTGCATCTATGGGGGTGTTAGCATTTTGATCTGGGGGTTGCCAATCTATAACAAGATAAAATGGTTACATCATTCGGATGTACAGTATCACTTTTGATCTGGGTGGGGGGGGGGAGCTTAGATAATTTACTAAACTATTTAAAAAAAATTAGATGTCTACATCTTTAAGCAATTTCCAATTTCTAATTTTTTGTACAACAAAAATATCTTGCATACCATTCTTAGTCTTGGAGTTTTGGTGAATATTTTAACAAACTATAGTATATTAAAAATGAGTTGTCTGCATCTTTTGGGGTGTGCCAATCTTGATCGGGGATTTTGTAATTAATTCAACTTACCATCAGTCCACTCCTGATACAGTGTCTTGGTTCAGGTGGCGATTATTGTATGCAGCCAATGTTCTTAATAATGGAATAATTTTCTATGATCAATTCAGTTTGTCATTAGACTAATGTTGATGTTTCGATTGAATAAAAGAAACAAAATAAAAGATGCTCGCACAAAACAAGAGTGGATAAAAAACAATTCGCATGCACGATGCAGAGGTCATGACCCAGGATTGTGCAGCGAGTTGTAGTGGTTGCCAAAAAACACCAGCTAATTCATCAAACTCAAGACTGGAGCAAAAACATTCCAGGAAACTAAGAGGGCGCACCTACAATACGTCATAGCACATCATGGCGGCAAACAGCACATCTCTAGGACAACGACATTACGTTAAGAAGTTACTAGTATCAGACAGAAACTGCTATAAAAAAACGGTGAATGTTTTGACCAGTCCGTCGGTTTCATTCTCTGGTGGGCGTGGATCGAGTAATTTTGGGTGAATAGATTTTCTTTTTTTGTTTTATTTTCACGATTTTTTTGAGAACATAGCTTCGTTCTAATCGATGACACTATGATCTTAACTTACCCAACCCTCACCACTTTTAAATTCAGCAGATAAACGAAGACAATTTCTCTGAACATCTTAACTCAAAGCACTTTCTATTGCTTTTCTCTCATAATTGTTCTTCTGGCAAAACAGAAATGAATATATAGATATAAACGAGCCATAGACGGTCTCGGTAATGGAAGTTAAAGTTTTGAAATGATCACCTGCTAGGCCTGCTTATGCAGTGGTTTCCGTCAAAATGTGATTAAAAGTACCATAGCGAAGTTAAATGACCAGTTAATGTCACCATTGTATTTGAAATAAAAAGGCTTGTTATGAACAAAGTGCCGTTTCAAAATGTAGGCATGTACAAAAAATGAAAATTTGGTCAGAATTATAACTATCGATAAAAGAACTACAAAATGTCAAAAAAATGCGCATTCATCTATGTAGCATACATGCCAAAAAATTTGCATAAAATTTAAATAAGTTCATGATGACACCCACAAAATGGGAAAAAAACTCAGTATGTATATGAAAGGTTAATTCAGAGGGATCGTTCACGGGAGGCAGATTTAAATAAACGTCTCCAAGCAGGCCTAGTTAGGTGGCAATTTGTGTGTGTGATGGTTAGTGCAACATATTCCAACACTAGTCAAGGAGTCAGGACTCAGGACTCAGTCAAGCATGCGTTTGAATACATCACACCAACCAGAAGACACACCCAACTAAAGACAGAGAATACAGACAGAAAGTTCAAAAGAGATAGAGTAAAGAAGCATAGGTCACTTTAAAGAAGAAATCTTACGAATTAACATGCACCTCAATCTTTCGCCCCTCAACTATAGTTCCGTTCAATTTCTCTCGTGCCCTCTCGGCGTCCGAACTATTTTGGAAAGTTACAAAACCGAATCCCTGCATGCATGGGAAAATAAATAATATACATGCAACACATTATAACCATGCATTGAAGAGAACACGAGTTAATACTCTCAATCATAATGACATTTTGTGCGTAATGCAGTTGGGCCGGTAAACGTGCTCTGTTTTTTTTTTGTCTAAAAATTATATTTTAATTCTTTGTCATATGCTTATTTCTGATGACAAAGTTAGGCCTTTATTATTCGTTATTCGTCTGTTTTTCGTTAATCTTGTCAATGTAACAGTCAATTAGTCAATAAACTGTCGGTCAGAATGTCAATTTGGTGTCGAGTATTGATATTATTTCTCAGCATATCACGGTACTTCTACAAATATCAACAAACTCATCATGAAAAACAAAACCAAGTCATGTTGCATTGTGGGTAGATTAAGGAAATGGGGGTAGTGTCAAAAATCAGTTGTCATGGCAATTTAATGATTAGGTCATCATAAAAATATTGTGGGTTTTTTGCCTATCATGCTTTATTTTGGGGTTCATAAACATATTTTGTGATTCTGTTAACGTTAATGAAAGTGCCAACCTAAATGAATCAAGTAAACCAGCACAGGAATAAATGACAAACACTATTCACTGAATCTGTTTTGCTCTGAATAACAAATAACATGTAAAATTTTGACTATAAAATATGAACATTTGAGCATTAACAAAGCATCTGCAACAAATATTACAAACAAGTGAGAAATTTGCACATTAAAATGCAATTTACAACATAAAAGCTCATGAGAGAATTACGTTTCTAGTAACTGATCCTTTTAGTAGTTGGAATTATTCGCAAGGATTATTTTTATCTTTTTTTCAAATTTTTGATTCATTTAGCTGAGCACCCCTGTACAATCTTGTGTAAATTAACACAAGAATAATATATAAATTCATCAAGGGAAAGAAAATATAGTGATTAGGTGAAAATCATTATCAAAATCATAATTCATATGGCAGATAAATTGTCAATGTTAAGCGCATGATAAATATTATTTCTGAACCTTAAAATATATGGTCAGAAAGCTTAATGTAAAACAGCATATGGAGACAACTGCTGTAATATGAAAAACCTACTGCAATTAGATCATACCATTTTTGTAAATAGGGATGCAGAATATAGGCCTATACCATTTATCAACAATACAGTAAATGTGCAATTTGCATTAGTCATTTCACAAATCACCATAAATTTATGATTTAAAATAAAACACCATATGTTAGCAATTCTCCGAGTGATTATCATTTTAGAAAAATGGCAAAACGTCAACAATTTCTGGATCAACGTAAAAGCTTTTTAACTGCAAGTTATAAATTAGAGGAATACAAAGATTCATCAACAATCAAAGATTCTTATTCAAAATCAAGCTTTTCATAATTATTAAAATTATAATCACAAAAAAAATTAAAAAATTTTGACTCGAATGCTGAAAAAGGATGAGGTATTAACAGATATATCTTGACACATTGTATATTATTGCTTAATAATATGCTTATCTCTCAGGCAGTTTATGGTAAATATCAGGGCATCCCTGTCTTAAAGATTTCTTATGCAGGGATTTTTATTTTGTTATATATTTTATTGTAGTTAGAAAACATTAAGTATAATAACCTCCTTGTACAACTTACTTGTATTCTTCAAATTTGCAATATTTTATATTGCATCATAATATTCATTATCTTTTATATATTAATTTATTATTTAATGGCACCGACAAAGTGAGAATAACATTGTAAGATAACAAACTTAATGTATATTTTTTGATATTATATGTTAATTTAGTTTCTCCATAATCTCTCATTATCTATTTTATTTGTCATATAAATATTTAATAATAATAATAATAATAATAATAATAATTTTGTAGATTTGTATAGCATTTATCAAACAAGATGCTTATGGCACTTGACATGTGGACTTCAATTTGTATTCAATAATCAACAATTATTATTAATTAACACCCTTATTTATTATTATATTTTTAATTTAAATCTGCTTTGAGTTTTTGTATTTCTTCTGCAAATATAAGTAGCAAAGTTCAATGAATTCATCTGACTCTTAATTGCTATATAGCATTCTCAATTTACAATGGTATGATCTCAATCACAAAAAGGTTGCATTATTTAAAATCAAGTCAAGCATTTGCAACATAACACAAATAATGACAGAAGAATAATACAGGCAGCAAGATTACTAGGAACTCAAAAACAAAATCAAATTCGACAAACATGGCAGGCCAAGAGAAAAAAAAAAACAACATTCACAAAACATATGCATCATCCACATCTATAATTACAGTGCTCAACATCTTAACTCAGTGGCTAATTAATCAAACAACTCAACAACTACGTTTAGAAACAATTACACATGCACATACAACAGAGTTGAGACCGTGATCGAGCGAACAATTGACCTGGACGGCGGGAAGTAGGGTACACATTTTGAAGTGTAATTACTCATAGTGCATATAATTATTATTAAGGAATACTGTGTGTGTGTTGTGTGGTGAAATCTGAATTAAAAAAGAAAATATTTTAATTGCTTGCATTTTTAAAGAATAAATACAGTAATTTATCTTTGAGACACAGATCATATTGATATAACAGACTATATTAATCCTTAAATTACTCAATACAAGTGTATTGTGTAATGTTAAATGAATATAGAAACTGTAATAAATATATCTGTAAATTTGTGGCGAAATTTGTTCTCGTTCTAATTTTCGATAGAAAGCAAATTAAAGTTGCTTAAATAAACAAAGCTAGCAATTCAAATACAGACATTTCATTGTTCAAGAATATCATTAGCACAATACTGACAGTATATCTTTAATAAAACATACATACGCTGCCGTGTCATTATTTCACAAACACAGTAACAGCGGCGCCAGCAAGGGTGCCATAAGGGTTCAAAGAGGCCCAGAATCCCATCGGTAAAAAATCATTTCATTAGAAACACCGCTTTAAAAAAGCAGTCTGAAAGTGTCAATTTTTGTGCCTATTTTATAATTCTTCTCCAAGCATGTTTGGTATGAGATGGGTGTAGATTCTCTGTAAGAGATTTTGGCCTCTCTCTCATTGAGGAGCCTAGACCGCTTGTTAGGGTATATTGATACTGGCACTGTACATTATGTATAATAGATAACGCTTTGTACCATTTCAGAGCCAATGGCATGAGGAAGAGCCCCGGATGTTGTATTTAAATGGGCATTAGAGATATTACAGTTGATATGAAATTAATCACAGTATCAGCTTATATGTATTAAAATCATAATAGGCCCTTTAAGATGGGTTATATAATATGATTGGATTTCTATAGCTTATTTTACCCTTGGATTTAAGTAGGTTTATTATAGTACAAATAATTATTTGTTTACTTAAAGGCACCTCTAGAAGAAATCGTTGTTACATATGTTTAGAAAAATTTTCCAAGACACTGGAAAATTATTTGAAGGAAAAATTGGAAAGAGGCAAAATATAAATTTTTGAATAAAAAAAACTGCTAAAAATGAGGTATTAATACCCCTAGTTTTCAGTATTTTTTATAATTTTCAAAAAATTATTAGCTGCTTTCATTAATTACTTCAAACACTAATTCAATGTCATAGAAAATGTATTTATACAAAAGATTTTAATAGTTAAGTTTTCTTTATTTATCTTTGTATTTTAGGAAGTAACAATATTTTTATTATTTAATATACTATTATTATTATTATTATTTAGAGAGGATTTGCATTCTTATCAACCCATAGCAATTGACTTTGTGATGTTCTAAATTAATTTATTAAATGTGCTGGTTTATCTTATTCACAAGGGAAATTTCGCACTGGGAAGGCAATGTTAGATAATGTTTTTCCATGTCAACCTTGCTATATGCAAATTCGTCTCATCAACATTCTAAAAAAAAACCTAATATAACTAGATTCTCTCTATTACACATGCAATAAATCAACTCGAAACACGTCTTCCTTAAATCTATGGCAATTTCCGTCTCTAATTAAAAACATCGGATATAAATTATTTGAGTAAATGTTTCTGCCACTGGTTTTTAATACATTGTTTTCATGTGTAATTGAGAGAAATCAAGTCAAGAAACTATTTCAATGGGGCACACATCACAACACATGCACAAAACCATGTGCAGAAAAAAATGAAAGGGTTGATTTATTGCCTAAATAATTAGCCATTCTATACCAGAATATATATATTAATTTTTGTAATCTTATCACAGAGAAAGTGACTCTGTGATGTTGTAAAACTAATTAGTCTTAAAAATCTGTCCACATTATCAAAGGTTTGTGTGAAAAATATATGATTTTTCCTTATATGGGCATAATGATGTAATATCACATCCATATATGGGCATGATATATCACATCCATATATGGGCATGTAAATGTCATATCACATCCATATATGGGTATAATGATGTAATATCATATCCATATAAGGGCATGATATCATATCACATCCATATATGGGCATGACAATGTCATATCACATCCATATATGAGCATGAATATCATATCACATATATATGAGCATGATGATGTCATTCACTTCCATATAATATGGGCATAATGATGGCATATCACATCCATTTATGGGCATGATATCATTTCACATCCATATATGAGCATGATGATGTCATATCACATCTATATATGGGCATGGTGATGTCATATCACACCCAAATATGGGCAAATCACAGATATTTGTCATCTAAAGCTTGATATTGTAGAAACAGATTTAAAAGTGGAGTAGTTTATACAAATCCAGGATCCTCAGACAAGCATCTTCCAAAACCATTTCTAGAATACACTTCGAAAATATAATCAAAATTTAATAAAAAATTTCATTTGATATACTATATTAAATATAATTTCCATTACAGTAGTATTAATTAAAATAATAATAATATTTTTATTATAATTAATGCTACTGTAATGAAAATTATGACTGAATTCCAAAAATAATAAACGGTAAGAATTTTCTTCAAGTAATCCATTTTAAAATTGGTCTATTCCCATTAAAAAGATTTTATATTTCATTTGCTTGTCCGAATATTCCTTGGCATCATATATTTCAATATCAGAGTTTACAACATCACATTATACTGTACGTCACATTTTCATATTTAGATCGCCAAACTTCAAATGATATTTGCAGTTAAACCGCTAAGAAGTGGTACGTCTCTTGATAGAAATGTTCAGCTTCACTTATCATTCAATGGCCTAGTTTCATGTCATCAAATTAAAATTTGAAGAAAACTGGACAGAAGTCTATTAAAGACGTTTTCAATTCTTGACATTTTGAAATGGCAAAAATAATGGATAGAATAACTAATAATTATACTTGATATAGTTTTCTTAAATATCAGATAACTTTTAATCAATGGATTATTTTCGTTTAACTGTATACAACATTATGTTTGAAATGTTTTTAATTTCTAATTAAAATTATAGGATAATGTTGGAAAATCGAATCAATATTTGGTTTTTCTTTATTGTTTTTTAACATATCTATCTTTAAACAATTATGATCTATTATGCTTTGAAATTTGTTGTTATTATAAATTCTTGAACTATCACATGAATTATATTAATAAACTACTGAAATACATTTATATTTTCTGTAATTATTATCAACCCTTTCATTATTACAAAAAAAAATCAATGGGAAAGGGGTAAAATGAAGAAAATAAAATTTGCATAAGAGAATCATGCTGACTTTTGATTGGCCATCTAGTAATCTTGCTGCAAGATGCTAACCAATGAGAAAATAAAGAGACCATTGATTGGCTTGTTTGAATTCAAATGCATGCATCATGCGCATCGCAGACGCATGCTTCAGAATCACAATGCACTGATGCACAATCCAGGCTTGAGCAAAGAGCCTACCTTAGATCCTCGTTCGTTGAAGATAATCTCTACATCTAATATGGCACCAAACACCTGTTAAAAGTTGCAAACATTAACAACAACAACAAATTAACAATCATACTTCACAATGATTTATTAATAAGATTAACCAAGTATATTAATTTATTCAGTCTGACTATTTTTATATTTAAGTCCATTTCAAACCTTGTAATCTGAGAGTACTTTTTATTCTTACAATAAATGTATACATTATCTTTGATGGGGAATGGATCCATTGATTGTTTTATTTATTGATAAGATTAACCAAGTATATTTGACTGTTTTTTTATTACTAAAGATACCAAGATTGTCAGGGGGAATTACCTTTAATAAATTGTATGCACCGTATAATCCGCATAATGTATACTAGTCTAGACAGCCCATTCTCTTTTCTTAGTAAAGTCAATTAGCCATTTCAAACCTTGTAATTTGTGAGTATTTTTATTCATAATTAATAATTTTATAAATTATCTTTGATAGGGAATGGGTCCATTGACAATGGTTACAATAATTAAGTTCTATACCAATTCCCTATCTCCAAATACATGGGCTCCATACCTCTTTAACTATGTACTTTGTATTTAAGTTGGCTCATTGCAACATAGCATATTCAGTCTAAATATGCTTGTGAAATACCATTTTCCATTTACAACACCACTTAGTCCTGCAGAGTAATGTACATCCTTGGACTTACCCCAAACATTTGCCGTAAATCTGGATCTCGAAATCTGAAGGGGATATTTGAGACATGTAAACGTTTAGGGATTTCTCCAGGTTTTGTTCCTGGAATGGCTTGTGTTGCTTGCCCTGCCTCCGTGACTGGCTGGGCTTGGGACGTCTGTACACTACCATCACTATTCTGCAAAAAGAACAAAATATACTGTGTTAATTGGAATCACAATTACATGTACTGTACATTGTTGATCATCCTATTATCAGATGCAGGAAAAAATGACAGTAGGAAGAAATACCATTAGCAAAGGAATAATCCATTTCATAATAGGTGTTGGTTAAGACCGAGAAAGGAGGTGTTCAATATATAATTAAGAAAGTATCAGTTATTTCTTCATTGCATTAACTAGGTCTAATAAACTCATTTATTTTGTTGTATTTATTTTACTAAATTTACCATAGAGCATCATCATTTCTGTTTGTTGTATTTAAGTATTATACATTTACTTAAAATAAATACAACCTGATTAGGTTGCATTTAATTTATTTAAATAAATACAATCTAACAATAATTATTAGTCTGTATTTATTTAAATGATACTTGAATAAATACAACACATTAAATAAAACCCTTAAAAAACACCTAAAAAATAATAATTAGGAAGAATGGCTTAGAGACAAAGCAGGTACCTGTATCTTGTACATGTCCAGTAGTGTTTACATTTAGATGATAGAGGGCAGTGCAATCATGACTTTCAATGTATTTAAAAAATGGCTTCTAATAGTTGAAGGGAGTGCGAATGGGATGTTTGTTTCAGTTATTTTTTACTTCAGTACATCAACAGGTCTTTATTTTTATGTTTAAAAAAAATTTTTGTGGCCTTTTATGTAAAAAAAAGAAGGCCTTAATATTAGTTATGCATATGAAGACAGTTAAATTGAATTTCACCTGCTGTAATTAACACTAAGTTTTATTTTCCACCTAAGGAATTATAACCTACTTTTTTAGGAATAAAGTTTTCAAGCAAATAATTCAAAAAAAACAATAATAGTTTAAAACACACAACAGCCTTTTGAACTAAAATAATATTCCTTTGTTAACACCGTCCTTTTAGTAAAATCATTCCTATAAAAATCATATCCAATAAACAAACATTTCATTTTACAAATAATGGATAAGAATTCTCATGTGGAAAATAAATATGCATGTGTGAGGCCCTTAGAAGATGTAGGCAGCTCTCAAGGTATCGTAATAAAATTATTAATGTGAACATATACAGGCAAAGTAGGGCAAATGTGTACTAATACTTAAAAGTTGCTACAGATTTCAAATCAATATTGAAATTGCTTTGACAACAATCTTGTTTAAATTGTTTCAATAAAAGAAGTTTAAATGTTTTGAATTTGCGAAAACGATCAAATTGCAACCGTATGTATCAGAACGTATTTTGTCAAATATCAGAAACTATATATCGGCAAGATGTAAAACATGTTATCCTTGCAAGATAATAACCAAAACAAGACAGGGAAAAGATTTTAAAATATCTATAGGCTAAAACAATTTTCCTTAATATCCCTGTATCTCCATTTCATTTTTTATGGGCAAGGTGATTTTTTTTCTATTTAAGAAGACAATAAACACACTGAATGAATCCAGTCACAATAAAAAAATTTTTTTTTTTTTTTGTATTGATTCTGAATTTAATCTAAAGCTCTGTCTAGACTATTAAATTTTATTTGAAAAAAAAACATATGACATGCCTACATATGGTGATGATGACATCATGACCATATATAGGCACACTATGACTATTTATAGACCATGGGATTTATTTTGAAACAGCGCCGCCAATGTCCCACAACTCACTGAGACAGCTGGTTAGTTAAAAATAAAGCACCACGCAGTGGATAGCGGCATAAGACCTTTGCTATAGCATCAGTAGTCAACAGATACGATCTTGCTAATTACTGTAATTACTGTATATGTAAACATTGAAATAGTTTTTAAGACAGACTTGGTTTTAATGTAAACATTTCGTGTTTTTTTCCATTTCAAAATATTTGTACTCGTAAAGTAATTTAGTTTCATCGTTGATTTAATCCATGATGGTAAGTATGTAGAGCGAAATTCTAGGCCTCTGAAAATGTCCCAGTGGTAGTTGCCAGGTTATCGGAAATTTTAATTTTTTAAAAATGTGTATAGGCATACAAACGGTCTGCCCAGATTATCACATTTTCATTGACAAAAAACTGTTGTATGCCCATATATAGTCATGATGTGCCTATATATGGCCATGATGTGATGTCATCATGACCATATTTAGGCATGTCACATGTTTTTGTCAAAAAAAATTCCATAGTCTGCACAGAGTTTTAGGGTTGATTTAAGCATGAGGAGAAAGGTTATCACCATAGGGATTGAACATAGGTCAGGCTTCATCTATTATACCATAATTTCCTTCTATTCAAATAAAATTTGAAATCAAATTTCTGTTTGTTAATGATACAATGCAATATCTGTATTACTTTTTTTTTCCCTCCTTGGTTTCAAATTAGTTTTTTGAAAAGTAGGACTGATATTAACAAATAACGAGCACCGTGAAGTAATGCCAGTTGCAACACATCTACGGACACCAAAGTCTTCTGGGAAATACATATCGTTACGTCCTTTGTAATGTCGATTTTGAGATTGTTCAATTTACATCACGTGTAACTCTAGTCAAATACTCTGTAATGTCACACTACATCAGACAAAATGGCAAAACTACATCGCAAGTTTAATTATACGTTGAAAATTTATGCCATTACTGTCATTAGCATTAGCTGTTTGTTTGCTGGCTAATGTATTCTAAAAATGTACAAAATTATCTACCATGCTAAATTTGCTGTTTTTATGTGCTAAGCTGGCATAATTTAACACCTTCTGTCCAGCCCGCTTCTATCTTGATCTCAAATCTACCAACATTATAACGCTTCATTTGCAAACCGCGGTACTGTGCTACAAGGCTTGCTATTTATAGATTTTTAGGTCATTATTCGGTATATTAAAAACAAAGTACAGTACATCAAAATGTTCGTTTATTTTTTACGCAATTTATAATATAACGCCTTTTTAGAAGCAAAGAAATTATTAATATGTGTTCTGGCATAATTCACAAATGGTTCAAGCAAGATGCAGTGTCATTACTCAAAATATATTTAAACAAAATACAGTGAAATTTTATCGTTTTTAAAAACCATGGAACAAGTGACACTCCATTGTAAATTTGGGACATGTTGACCTTCATAAGAACAAAATACACTGGCGCATGAATTTAGGCAGAAATTGATTTTCCCAAAGTTCAATCTACCTAGTTTGTAGTGACTTTGTTTATCAGGTTACGAAAAGCTGAAAGAGTTTGATATTTTTTAACTGCAGTATAAAGTGGTTTATCTTTGAAGCTAAAATTCAGTTTCAAAAATGCTTGTTTGAACTATAGTATATATGTCATCATAACTCCATTTCTGAATATCATGCCAACGCCATTCAAATTTACAAGATGAACATTGTATAATGTACTAATAAACAATTATGCCAATAGCATATTTATTTGCTGGTAAAACAAATTCATCTTAAAGAAGGACAGGGCTAAATATAAACATGGAATTTTCATTTTAAAAATCAGCAGCAAATTACAACAAAACAAACACGCAATTACACTACACATGAGCTCAATAATAAAGTAGGCCTCCATCTCCACTCTATTTCACATCTGGAAAATAATTTTATGCAGAGTTCCAAGATTAGCATTTGTACAGTGATATAAACCAATTGATACACAAATTTTACAGACATAGCAAAAAAAAAAAAAAAAAAAAAAAGAAA